AGAAGATGCACATTAATATCTGAATTTATTATATGAGGAGACATTTAAGATAAGGAATTGGGGCACTTATACCCTGAAGGTTTATTTATGTTTCCAAGTTTTTCCCATGTACTTCTAAGCCTGATCCTCTCTTTTCATCGGGTAAAAAATAAATACTTCCCCTGTCCAGTCATGTCCGAATCTAGGGCACAATGTCCATCTCTATTTCTTGGCTGAGGAAGCCAGCATTGTCCAAAGACATTTTTCACACGCATGTAGCCAGCATGGCTATACGGCAAAGGTGCATGTAATGCTGTTACCTTCCTACCAAAGTGGTACCTATTTATCTCCTCGCATTTGCATGCTTTCGAATTGCTAAGCGGGCAGGAGCTGAGGCAAGGAAGGGAGCTCGCACAGCGCTTGGGACTCGAACTCAGGCTTCCCAGCTGACAAGCTCAGCATCTTTAACTGCTGAGCTATCTTATCCCCTTTTTTTCATCAGGAGAAATGCATAATTTCCTGTTGCTTGGGTACTGCCGTTTCGAAAGTTGAAACCTTGTTACTTCAAACCCATTAAATCAGGCTGCCCTTGCAATTATTTGAACTTGCTTCTCTTGCTGACTAATACACCCGCTGAAGGACATTTCTGAGGCAAGGGGAAGAAGAAGAAAAATCAGGCTGTATGTTAGGTTTGAACGCAGGAGAATTATGTGAGAGAATCAGGATGTTTAAAAAGGTTAGGCCTTTTCTTAAAATCAGTCAGACTGTGAGGTGAGTTGATACCTTTGTAGGGGGCATTACAGAGTCCCAAAGCACAGATATTTGTTCTAGATTTGGCAGAATCTCATTCACAAAATAGCTGCTGAAATAATGCATCAGCTCTGGCCACCTCCCAGTTGTTTCACTGCCTCAAGCAATCTGATCTGGGTACCAGTGCCAAAGCTATTAAGAGTTTTCATTAACGACAGAGATACGTACCAAGGGAAACATGGCTAACAGTTGTAGCCAAGATATAAACCAAACTCATCTCCACACAGAGTGAAGACAGTGGCATTTTAAAGATGTGTTGTGAGCCCATCATGCTAACGCAGACAGAATTGGGCGCTGGTTCTAGAAAACAGCAAGTGGAGTTCTCTTCGAGAAGATAATGTTCTTGGGAAGATTCTAAAAGCCAACTTCTGTGTTTGGCAAAACAGATTTTTGCTTACCCCAGCAACCAAGTATCACTTCCTCCATCAACAGTCAATTTGCACTCTTCTTACGGATAACCTACACCTTCCAGTTTTGCGCTGCCCCCTTTTTAGCCAATGAACTGGAAAACTATTGAGGTTGTCATTATTTAACAGAAACACCTATTCATTTATAGCAAATGCACTGACCTTCTTGCAGCTAACTGGGAAAGAAAAGAAAGAAAAGAAAATAAACAGAGGGAGGGAGGGAGGGAGGGAGGGAGGGAGGAAGGAAGGAAGGAAGGAAAATACCTAGTATGTCGGGGTTTGTTACTTCAGGGCCTTTGGGAGATCATGGGAGCTTATGGCTGCTCCTATAAATAAAGGAACCTTAGCAACAAATTAAGCCATATGGTTCCTGTCCATTCTATTTTCCCCCCTGAAAATTTCACCCTTTGGGACAGGAAACACAATGGTCTTTGTCCACCAAAACAGAATCCCTAAAGTGTTGTCTGCAGAATTACATCCAGCTTTCTTGCATCTCATGTAAAATATCACTTCTGTGATGAACCAAATCTTCTTAATGACAAAACACTTTATACCCTTTTATCTTTCATATTCCCTTGATGACCATCAAAAATGAACTGCAAATCTATTCTTTTTTTTTTTTTAAGAAGAAAACTGGAGCATGAAAAAAAGATAGTCAGGAATTTAAGCACAAGCTACTGCCCTGAAGAAAAATGCCATGTTAGTCAGAATAAAGTCCAATAGAGCTGACACTCTAGTTGCCTCTTCTATCTTTTGGATGAGGTTGTGCTCTTAAGTTTTCTTGAAGACTGACAAAACCATCACAAAACCAGCCAGATTCCACTGAGATCTCCTAACAACCAAAGGGGTGGGAGTGACCTCGGAACCTACAAGTATTTTCCAGAAGGTAGCCTTTTTTAAAAAGATTGATTTTTTTTTTAATCCGGACTTTATTATTATTTTTATATAACTCAAAAGGGTGAAAAATAACTAATACTCATTTTTCCTTCTACATTCCCTACAACAACCACCCTTTGGAGTTGAGCTAAGAGAAAGTGACTGGCACAAAGTCGCTCAGAGCTGGCTTTAATGAAAAAGGACTACAACTCACAATCTCCTGGTTTCTAGCCTGCTGCCTAGATCAAATGGACTCCCGGTGAAAATACTTTAGTAAGGAAGAGGAGAGAAATGCGCTGAGCCCTGAAGTCAATTATATTCTTAAATTTCATTATCTCCCCTGGTGTGTTTAGACTTCTTGGGGATCCGTCAACACCATGGTTGTAACATGTCCTGAAGTAATTTTTCATTATCCAGTAGATGTTGTTGAACAGGATCGCCATTCCAAGAATTATCTGCCTTGCTTGGATAAATGACACTTCGCAGCCTCATTTCCACGCCCCGTGACAAAACCTTGTCAATAATCCTATAATCCACGCATAAAGGAGCAAACAACCTCCGTATTAGGTGTAAAAGATGACTCCTTATAGGAAAAGCTTGCTAAAAGAAATACAGCCAGGGAGACGAAGAAGCTGAATTATCCCAGCTTATGGAAAAGAGGAGAGAAGGAACCAAGGGAAAGAAAATATTTGGTGTTATAAAACTCCACGTCCATCTGATGCTGGAAACGTGCCCAGGTTTGAAGAGCCCTTTACGGACTCGCTTGGTTTAAGTGCTGTTTTCTTTCAAATCGGCTCGTTGCAGCGCAAAGTGAAGATCGGTTATTAATTCAAGATTAGTCTTGAATATTTAATACCACTCAAATGACCACTTAACGTATCAGGAGAAACGATCATTTTAAGTGAGTTTAATCATTTCCCACTGACAATGTTATTAATACAACACTGCATGCACGTGTGTGTGTGTGTGTGTGTGTGTGTGTGTGTGTGTGTAGATAGATGATAAGAGACAAAGATATATAATTTCCTCTGTTCAATTGGGTCTGATTCTCAGAGACACCCTGGAAAGGTTCCTGCAGTTTCCTAGGTGAGTTTTTCAGAAGTAACTTGTTGTTGGTTCCTTTTCCAGGGCTGAGAGAAAGTACCTGGCCCAAGGTCACCCGCTGGCCAAGGTGAACTCAGAACCAAAAATACCTAGTTGGAGTCTCAAGTGAAGTCTTAACTGCCTCAGCTCTAGCAATTCAAACTGTGCGAAGGGCAACAGGCTCTCTGAGAATCCAAGCTAAACATTTTGCTTTGCATCCCACATGAAAGCCCCAAAGCATTCCAAAGTCATTCTGTGGGCAACAGGCCTTTTTCTTTCATAAATATCAGCTTGCTGTACAAGTCAGGACCATAACAAAATGCGAGAGAATAACGGTCCCCTTCAGTACTCCAGCCAGTCAACTTCTTTCAAAATAATCCATTCAATTCGCCATTGGCCCACAAAGCGCCGTTTTTAGAGATGGAGACGGCCCTGCAGTTTGCTGAACCCTCATTTTTGTTGTTGTTGTTGAGGTGACTTCTTCACACCATTAATCTGCGAAGCTCATTATCTATTACATGATGAGGCTTTCCAGATAGTCTTTGACTTAGGACCACAATTGGGACCTTCCGTTTCTAAGCCAGAAGGCTGTTAAATGAGTCCCCCCCCCCCCCCCCAAAAAAAATTTTTTACAAGCTTTTCCGCCACAGCTGCTAAGAGAATCGCTGCAGTTGCTAGGAGAATCAGATGGTTGTTAAGCGAATCCAGCTTCCCCCTTTGATTCTGCTTGTCGGAAGGCGGCTGGGAAAGTCACAGATGCTGATCACATGACCCCAGGATGCTGCAACCATCATAAATACATGCTTGTTTCCAACTACTCGCATTTTGATCTTAGGGATGCTTTTAACAGTCGTTAAGTGATGGCCATTTTGGTCTTGGGGATGCTGTTAACCGTCATTAAGTGATGACCATTCAAAAGTCATTCTTTTTCAATGCTCCTGTAACTCCAAAAGGTCGTTACATAAATGGTTTTAAATCAAGGACTACCTGAAAAGGGGAATGACTGAATCCACACAGATCCGGGAAATCAAGGGCTATTATTCTTGAAATGTCCAGGTTATCTTGAGGGGGGATAATACACTTCCAAATGTTTGATGCAGAAACAATGGCAGGAGAAGAATATATCTATATCTCCTGCTTATGAGCAACCCGAAAGAAAGAAAAAAATAATATCAGGCTCAGAAAGTGTCAGACCTGCCTCAACTTAGACTGCTTAGACTGAAAACAATCCTCAGCTACGCTGGGTTGAGAAAGGTATACTTTACTGGAAGCCAAGTAAAATACAGTTGTAGAAAGCCAGAACTGAAATTTGTCTGGCAAAACACCAACTGGAAGCTTTTTCCCCGCTTAGGGCACTTTCCATTGCTGTTGTCCCTTCTTTCCCCTCAGTTTCAAAGAAGATGTTTTAGAAATGGCCACTCTTGATTGTAGGCTGGCTTTCAGCCGCATTCTTCAACATCGTCTCAGATAGGCACTTTCACTTTCTTAATTTTCACTTTGCCCCCCCCCCCCCCCCCCCCCCCCCCCCCGGTTCATGGCAGATTGGTACCGAAGCGATTGCAGAGAGCAGGAGCAGGCGTGAGGTGGCAGTTCTGACAGAAAAGGCCTGATCAAGCAGTCCTGTCCTTAAGTTCTTAAGATGGTGCCGTTTCATCTTTTTTTAAAAAAAATCTATACAAGGATAATACTCACCCTTGAACTGCTAATTGATGTCAGAGATGACGATCATGAGAACGCTTCAGTTTTCATTTTTCAGATATTTCTATCAGCCCTCATCAACCAGCTTCACCCAAGTTCATTTTTAAAACCCATACCACGCATGAGGGGAAAAAAACAATGTTTTACCTCTCCATGTCTTAACGGAGTAATTGTTCCTCTTGATACTCCCATGCGGAATAGTGTTTCTGTGGCCTGCAGACAAAAAGAGAGAATATTTGAAGTAAAATGTTCTGCTTTTTTGAAATTACAATGTTCACAGGGCATTTAAAAAAAAAAGAAACAATACTGTGGAATTCAATGGGATTTCCTCTTTTAATAAACATATTGGTAAAAATCCTTACTATAATATTTATAACATGCTTACATAATTCTTGAGAAGAGGAGGACTTTTGGAAAATGTCCTGCTTTGTTTACATCAGGAGTGTCAAACTCGATTTCATTGAGGGCTGCATCAGGGTTGTGTTTGAACTTGGGGGGCTGGGGTGGACATGGCCAGCTCAACGTCACTCGTGTCGGAGGCATCTGTGGTGGCCCAAGAGCTCTGCCAGTGAAAACGGGCTCCCAAGCTCCGTTTTCTGCTGCGATGGCCTCCTGCAACTTTCTGCTTGTGAAAATGGAGCCCGGGGGGGGTACACGTGGCCCTCGCGACCTCCGTTTTCAGCTGCAACGGCCTCCTGAAACTCTCTGCCAGCAAAAATTGAGCTCAGGAGGCACCCCAAAGGACGGATCTGGCCCCCGGGCCTTGAGTTTGACACCCATGGTTTACACGATGGAGTGGATGGTACAAGGGTTGTCAAGGATAAAAATACATGACAATCTGTATACCTACAAAAAATCCCTCCAGGGTCAAGTGGCTTTGGCATCAACCTAACAACCTCTCGCCCCAGATTCTGGGATTTCCCACCTTTAGCCTTAGGTGGAGTTGCTCTTCCCATTCAAGACTGTAGGGAGTCACAACTCCTATTCAAATACTATCTACCATCTTTGGCCAATGAAGCCTTTGCATATCTTTATTTTGTATGACAACCGCACTGTGTTTTAGATCAGCAGGCGTTTCACCTACTTACACTTGCCCTAATCTTTCTGCTCAACTATCGCCATGCATTCTCCATGGAAAGCCTATTCAGTGATTTCAAACAGTCCAGAGTGAAATGGCACAGATGATTGATGGACATGATAGACAATATGCCGCAATATGCCCATGTGGCACCACTGTTTCACAAGCCGTATTAGATGCTGGTGTACTTTCAGGTGCTGCTATAAAACCCTACATGGCAAAGATTACTTGAGGAATCACCCACCTCTCCTAGTTTCTACCCATTAGCAAGAGCTGGCAAGATAGCACACTCTGGGTTCCTTTGATTAACCAATGCCCCCTTATCAGGACCCAGGACTGCATCTTTGCTCGTGTGGAGCCTATTCTGTGAAATGAGATCCCCCATAGATTCATGAAGTTCCAACACCAAGAAGGTTCCAGAAAGTCTGGAATGTTCCCCCAGACTTTGGGAAAATATAAATATAATTCACTTTTTGTGTATTGTTTAGCTGTATTATATATTTTTTTCATTGTTTTTATATTGTGAGCCTACCAGTATCATCTTTGTGCCAGGAAGAAGAACCTAAATCTCTTGAAATAAACAAGCTACATTTATAACCCTCTTTAAATCTATCTCTTGGCTAATTCAGTGAAAAGTTCAAATGTGAATGAGAAAATTCAAAACTTCCAAACAAAGACAGTACTTTTCTCAATATTACAAACACTAATGAAAACAATTTAGAGAATGGTCAAACAAAATACCGCTTTGATCATGATACAAAGATTCAATGGTTAGAGTTACAAAAGCTCATTAAGAATCCTGTGGGTTTTTTAACGTTTAAAATATGTAGGAAAATGTTTTTTAAAATGCAGACCCTATTTTTCCTTAAAGCAATTTATTTAAAATTATGGATTGCATATGTATCTTATCTCCTATGTTTCAGGAACTCTTAATGCATTCTTATTTCTTTGTACTTTCAACAGTGGGTAAGATGGGGGCAAAGAATCCATCTGCCTTGTCAGGGACCTCATTTATTTGCTCATTTAGACCCACAAGAAGTTGCAAGCCAGTCTCAAGTCTTAATTCTACATTCCCTTGAAGATTAAAAGGGTGACAACTTCACGCAGCCTTTTTGTGTTCTCCAAAACTGATTCCTTTCATCAGTTCTTCTTACCAACATTTTGAAGATGTTTCGGCAGAATAGGGCATTCCGTCAATACTGCTAAGCTTCCTTTGTTTCTATTGAGAACCAACGATCTCTGTAACTTTCCTTCTTCTTCAACTGATAAGAGAACTCCTTTAATATACTTGCACTCACATACCTAAAACCCAGTTGTCAAAGCTTCTTAGATAAAAGGGAGTTTCACAGCTTGGGTGAGCCCAGGACTGTGGCGTTCTTGATAGAATCACCATTCACATATGCTAAGAAGATTAAGTATATTTCTGAAGTTTTCTGTTTAAGATAAAGTTTGGGGAAAGGAGGCTTATCAAAGCCAAAACATTTCAATGGTTAGCTTTCTTTAAAAAAAATAGAGAGGATTATGTAATTAGATAAGACAGAAGATGGAATTTCTGGCAAATGAAAGGCAGTATTAAAAGAAACATTAACTCATTGCATTAAAAAAATGGGAAGAATGGATTTTAAGAGAGAAGATCTAAAAAAAAAAACAATGTAGGGGTTGGAGAGATTAAGAATAAATAGTAACTAGGTTTAAAGAAAAATATTGCAATAAACATACATGGTCCTGGAAACATTCATACAATAGAACATCCCTAAAAATCTCTTTCAACCTGGCACAAATTTTCAGCAGCTCTACAAATCTGTACCAAGGAAAAAAATTAAGTCATAAGAGCTTAAAGTTAAAAATAATCTTCCCTAGCAAATTCTAAAGACATAATTCAAAACTGCATGTCTTCTGAAGAAAGAATTTCTTCCTTCAAGTGAGACAAATCCCTTGGTTCCTGATATATCATTCATAGCTGCTTTTGAGAAAGGTCTATCCTCACAGCAGATACTAGAGATTCCTGGGAACAGTGCCGTTACATGAGAAAGTTCCCCTAAAACATTGTCCCCTTCCATCTTAAAGATTTAATATTATTTGTATCCATCTTTCCACCTTACCCCAAGATTCCCTAATGAGCATCTAAATTACAATGAAAATATAAGCTATAACTAAAAGGATGACCAACAGTTATACAACAGTGAATAACCTCAAATTAGATTATTTAAAACAAAATACTACAAAACAATTTGCTAAAAGCAGTGATTGCCTGTAAAACGTTTTCATCCAGCTCCTAAATCTAAACAAATTTGGATCATCCCCAACCTTGGCAAAATAAAATAAAGCAGAACTGTTCGTTCCTGTGAAACAAATTATGAGGTGATGGGATAGTAGCAGTAAATCATGATACTGTCATGAGATGAACTCAATGAGAAATGTGTCTTGTGTTATATGAAGAGAATGCACTGTGGAATATCGTATAGTAAGTATCCATAACCACTGCCACCACCATCATCATCATCATTCTAGCCCTTGTCTGTAGGCTGAAGGCCTCTTCCATATGTTTCCAATCTATATGGTCCTGAGTTTTCTTTTGCCAATGGAGCCCGCAATACTTGCTGATGTCATCACTCCATTTTGTTTTAGCAATAGCAACAGCACTTAGACAGTGCTTTACAGTGGTTTACAGAGTCAAAATATTGCCCCCAGCAATCTGAGTCCTCATTTTACCAATCTCAGAAGGATAAAAGGCTGAATCAACCTTGAGCCTAGTAAGATTCCAACTGCCAAATTGCAGGCAGCCGGCAGTCAGCAGAAATAGCCTACAGTCCTGCATTCTAACCACTGCGCCACAGTGGGTCATTAGGTCTCTTTCATGGACACTTTTTAATCAAGTGGAATCCATTCAATGACTGCCTTGGTCCACCTGCCATCAGTTCTTCTTGCTATGCGACCAACCTATTTCCATTTCAATTCTGGGCTGTTTGCATATTGTTTTAGGCATTAATCAATACAACAATATATTGAGGCATACACTCTGTTTTTCAGTGTTAACCAATACCATTCCTCATGCCTGCAAATGTCAGAAAAAACTTGTTCTCCCTTTCAAAAAACTGTCAACATGCCTTGCCAAGAAAACCAGGGATAGATTTACTGTGGTCTTCAGGGCAACTGTAATCACATTTTTGGTTAAAAATTCTGGATAGGAGCCAGATCGTCCCAATTCTCACTTTTCCACTAAAGAATATCATTAATTTAAACAACACACCTAAGTCCAATATATTTATGCATATTATGCATTCCTGGCCCCAGCCCAAGTCATTAGCCTAATAAGCAGTAATTAAATCCAATAGAAATTGGTGTATTTTTCACCTAGGGGTGCATATTACTTCATTAAATACCAGATGCAAAATGCCAACAGGTGACAGTGTAATGTTTCTTCATTCCATTTAAATAGCACGCCAATTATTTTTCAAGACAGTATGCCAATTATTTGCTTGAGATCAGATTCCTATCAGGCATGGCATGAATTCAATCAAGTATCTACAAACTCATTATAACCTCTAATTCTATTATCTGAGTCTATTTTAAAAAAAAGCTAACATGACAGCTCTCAAAGACACAAAATGTTTTTAGTTAAAATTTGACCTCGAGATAAAGAAAGATTGAAAGTTGAGGCTTTTCCAAATGATGAAAAACTGGGGAAGTTCTTTAAAAACAAACAAATAACTAGAAATTACAATTTGAAGGAAGTTTCACACAAAAAAGTATCTGCAATTAAAATAATAAGACTTACAGTATGTATCACCTATGTCTTATGCTCCCTAAGTCACATATATAAAATGAATGGAAATATCAATTGATTAGATAAATAAATTATAGGAAGACAATATATATTGTATCTATGAGAGATGCACATTTGTTTCCAAGAAGAAAGAAAAGAAGGAAACAAACAAACACATATGCAAAAGTAAAAATTGACTTACAATCCCAGTTGGGACCAGAATTTCTGTTGTTTAGCAAGACAGTGAAGAGAGCTGAGACCAATTTTACAATTGTCTAAGGAGATTCTCAGTCATCCAAGTTATTTATACATAAATTAAAACTGCAAAAAATGTATCTTGTCCAACTATCACTGATTTACTACAACTTT